CCACAAACTTAAACCCACACCCACGCATTTTAGACCCACTTTTTATGGTTCTATATTACGAAGCCACCAATATTTTTCAACAACTGGGTATCATTTTATTTATTTTCAACATTTTGACGGATATCTCCCCTAACCCTAACTGTAAAAACTACACATTGTTCCTTCAAAGCTGTAGTTTGATCCCCTAAATGTGTTAAAGTGACAATGTGTAGCATTTAAAAATAATCTCAGGATATATCGATCAAAATGTTGTAGTAAATGAATTAAAAAATGTGCAGTTGTTGAAAACTATTGGCAGTTTCATAACATGTAAACATAAAAATATGCTCTAAAATACATGGGAGCGGGGCTAAGTCTCTGGGCGACACCATGCCATGTTTCCTTCTACGGAAGTCCGTGAGGACAAAATGCATTTACTGATTTGTAACAAATGGTTACACAACTTTCACCATTCATAAACATTGTTCTTTTACACTTTTACCTCTTCACTTGTTGCCAATGATGAAAGGGAATCAGATGTTCTTATTATTTTGCTGGAGGTTGAGCTCCCAGGGATTTTTGACCCTAATGGCCGTCCGTTGGAAAGGTCTTATTTGAACATAAAAATGATGCTTGCTTGCGGTGATTTAGGTGTACTGCCCCCTAGATTTAGTTTCTTATAATTGTTTATACTTAAAGGGACTTTACGGACTTTTGAATTTTTGTGCTCGCGAGTGCCCCCTCAGGCCAAAAGCGTAACGGCAGCTTCAACAGTAGGCTCGTGCACGAGGCGTGCATGCTGTACGTGCACACTCAACGAAAATAACAGCTGAGGCAGAGCACAGAGCTCTGAGAGCATCCCGTGTGTGTGTGTGTGTGTGTGTGTGTGTGTGTGTGTGTGTGTGTGTGTGTGTGTGTGGCCCGGAGGACAGAACAACACAGCAAATTAATAAAATAATGTGCCTCTGTCTCTGCAGCTGCACTTTCTCGTCGGCCGGCCGAACGTGCAGTGTGTGTGTGTGTGTGTGTGTGTGTGTGTGTGTGTGTGTGTGTGTGTGTGTGTGTGTGTGTGTGTGGCCCGGAGGACAGAGGACAGGAGAACGTGCAGTTAATTAATTAAATAATGTGGTTCTGTACCTTTCTCTTCAGCACAGCCGACAAAGGTTTATGATGGGTCAGTCCTCCTGCATGCTCAGATCATTCCCTTCCCTTGCTTGAAAAATTGTTCCAAAATGAAAGTTGAACCCACATCTTTTTTATCTGTGAATTCAATGCCGTTCCACAAGTCTCAAATAAAAATTTGGGCATCTTACTGTAAAAAATATACCATTAATGTAAAAAAGAAACTCTAAATAAACTATGTTGACATCCAGAATCGAACTCGGGTCTTCTGCATGAGAGTCAGCCACTTTACTAGGCGAGCTAAAGCACCAGCAACATTTATTGTATCTGTAACATTTATATCCTTGATGACAGCTGAAACAACGTCAAACCAAAGAATGGTTCAGAGTGAAAATGGCTATTTTGTTGCTAATTTGCAGGAAATATCTAGAAGAAAGTTCTACAGAAAGTAGCTAAGGGTCCTCAGAAATGTAGCTAGCTTTGTCACTAGGCGTTAGGAACAGCGACAAAGTGGCACTGCCTCTCTCTCTGCTGCTAAAGCTACGGATAGCAAATGCTACGGGCGATGCCTGAGCGTGAACGCGCATGAAGCAGCCTGCTCGACCCGAGCATCTCTCTTTTTCTGTGATTTTACAGAAAAACAGGCAATCACAGTAAAAATGCCAGGGCTCATTCTACAGGACCAGGGCATTGCAGGAGAACGTATGAAGAAGACATTTATTATTTCTATACATGTTTTGGCTGTCACACTTCCTTTTTAGTCCCTTTAATAATTATGAGATGCTAAGTTATATTTGACTGCATCCAAAACTTTCTAAAAATATAAACCAGATATTTTTTTATCCAAGTGGCTAAAATGGGCTTACGTATAAATAAATTATTGATCTTTTTTCAAGGAGTTTAGCTGTGGTTATTTAAATTAATTATCTTGCAGCTGCATGCTTAATAATTCATTTTATCCAGAATTTAGATGCATTATTGTGTCTGAAGGAGTGTTCAGAATCTGGGGTCTCATTTATCAAACATTGGTAGAATCCTTACTAAAACCGTACTTAAGCTCAGCAAAAAAAAAAAAGTGCTTACACCAAGCAGGTGTGCACACCTGCACACAATCTCCGCTTCATAAATCGGAGACTATCTAGAATGTTTCTCAGCTGCATTTTAGTCACATCCCGCCCTCACCACGCCCACTTACTGCCATAAATAGTCAATGCAAAGTGCCTTGTGGACCTCATGCATATACATAAGCCGGCTGTTGCAGCACTCCGCCAATGACATGGCGACCGTAGATCAAGGCAGATCAAGGAAGAGCTATTTCACAAGCAGAAGTTGAGGTACCTGTGGGTGAGGTGGAGAAATGAAAGGAAGTGCTTTTGCAAAACAAATAAGAGAAAATCCACGGAGTGGCACAGCGTTGCTGAAGCCGTCAATGTTGTGAATTATTCAGAGAGATCTGTGACGGATATAAAAAAATAATGATCCAATCGGAATTCGATCCCCATGCTCTCCATGTCCAAAATGTGTGCAAGCCAGGTCCTTAGTCAACGTAACATTGCGCACATTTTTCCGCTAAGATTTCTGTCATAAATCCCAACGTTTGCGTGGAAAGTTGCTTACGCAGTTTTCCGACCCCGTTTTGTGCGTAAGCAAGCTTGATAAATGAGGCCCCTGGTGTCTAAACTTCAATGTGGCCAGTGAGTTCACACACAAATCTACGGAGTGTTAACTTAAAATTTTATTTGTTAAAAACATCAACTGGAGCTGATTATATCATGAGACATTCATGTCCGTGTTTAAAATGATCATGAACTTTTCTGCTGAATAATTCAGACACTCAAGAGCTTCAATGTCATTTTATCTTTTTTTTTAAAATCCATTTGGCAACAATCAGACGAGGTGAATTTTGGCAGAATTTACCTTCAACAGAGACACTTTTTCCCTGTTTTCTCTTCTCAAAGAGAGATTTTGGAATTTGAGGAAATATTCAAGTTGTAAAATGTGTCTCATTCTTTCAATTTTATGAGGAGAGGGTCATTGCATTTAATAATAAGTAATTTTTGAAGGCTGCAGATCTTTTTGCTACATATGCCCACCAACCTCAGCCGTTATCGCCACAAATAACAAAACTCTTATTTTGAAGGAGTGACACCTGACCTGCTCAGAAACTTTCACTTTTCTAGTTTTGAGCACGTTTTCCCTAACCTTTCCCAGGCACTTGTTTTGAGGTCCAGACTTCAAAGCAGACTTGAAAATGTGGCGATATCAGCTGGAAGCCCACATCCACTTCCATTCACACGGGAGGCAAGTGGAGCAACGTGGTTCATATTATTCGATAAGAATCCATATTCTCCTAGGTATTTTAACAACCTGCAGCTCTGTTTTTGTGGCACGGCTGTTTGCTTTTTCCTTTCTTTTTGCCACCAAGCATGAAAGGTCAGGATTTACCAGGAGTTTTATTAAAGAATGACACAAAGGGAAGGAAAAGGAGATTGCTCTCAGAACACTGGTATTCATTATGCATCTTCTTTTTCCATTGTCTGTTTATTTTTTGCTGTCTGGAGCTGTCGGAGCGAGTGTGTGTTCCTCTCCTGCACGAGTGTGAGCTGATGGCCATCGGGATGGACGGATTGTGTATTGTTTCAGGCCTCGTGGCATGCTAGCCATCACAGACAACCTTGGCTGAGGTTTGTACTCGGGCCTCTGTGCTCCTTGATCCTGACAAGTGGCATCTGTGAGGTCTTTGGACGCTACGCTCAAACCGTACGATGATAAGTTTAGACCAAAATGAGAGTTTCACAAACGCAGCTGATTAAATCCACCCTAAAACCTGAGTTTCACACAGATTTCTAAGAATTATGCACTTTAATATTAAATAAGGACGTAAACACAGTTATTTTCATATTAAAGCCAAAACAATTACATAAATACAATAATAGCATTTATTTCTGGTCTTGTCAGCGTTATTTGAGTGTTTTGCATTTAGACACTTTCCAGCTGCACCACAAAGCTAAGCTCTCCAGCGGTTTGTGTTCAGCCTGATTTAAAGGCATCACAGTTTGTTTATTTGGATGAGTTATGGACTTGCCCCACTGGTACGCTCTTTTTGTGGCGATTGCAAAGACGTCGCACAGCGATGGAAAGCTTCCACAAAACCATCACATAGCAACTTCTTTGTGGAGGGAAAACCTTTCAGGAAGTGAGTTTTTACAAATCAAACGTGCCGATTTCAACAATCCCTTCCTAGAGCTCTTGAACCGCTCCACCAAACCACCAAATTGAGACAAACAAACTGATCTGCCACAGAAATGAAGCTTTTACTGTTGGACCTGCATAGGAAATGTATTTCTCATGTATGCTCAAGGGACATAAATATTCTGGAAGTAACACCTTTGAGTAACCAGTGGTTCTTTGATGGAAAATGTGTTTGAACAGCTAAATGGTTTGTTTTTTGCTTCATTTCTGTCCATTATCCCCGCACGAACAGCATTAATAGCTATTGTAATAGAATTCCTGTGCTTGGTGATTCATGGCTTAACCCTTTGAATCGGCATTTGAACCTGGTGGAGATTATTTTAGTCTTTATATCTTATGGAAACATGCAAGGGGAAAAAACTCAAAAATTATAAATATTTAAGAAAAATGTAGGTTTTGAAATCAAAAATTAAACGTTAGTATTTTCCAATATTAAAAATCTTATTTTATCATCAATTAATTTTAAATTCAAACCATTTTTACTTCAAACAAATATAGAAAACACAAAAATGGAACCTTTTAATAGCTGTTTTAAGGAACTGAAGGAAATTTAGCTTTCTTATACATTTTGATATTAACATAAAAAGGGGTTTGAAGGAGAAATAAGTGGAGTGTTCAATAAAATACAATGGTTTAAATATCCAAACCTATTTAGTTTCATAGCACTTTAAAGAGAAACATATGTTTTAAAAAAATAGTCTTTTTTCTGAGCTCAATACTTGAAAAATTCACCATAACTGTGTTTCCACTAAAGGAGCTTCAGGAAATGTTTATGAGAGGGAAGGTGACAGGGGAAACATTGCAGCATAATCCTATAACTTGTTGTGGCTCCGTATAAAATTGACCATGTCAGGACTTTGCATTTTACAACCCTCACACCAGTGAGGGACATCCCTGATTAGTGCCTAAATGCATGCACAGACTAGCCTAAAAATCTAGACCAACCCTAGCAGTAGCAGAAAGAATTTGCTCTGCAGGTGTCTGGCCACACTCACTCCATTGTAACCTCATTAGGTCTACTATTGGCCTAGTTTTGTGTCTGGCCAATCACAGTGCTCTACATGCTGGGCGGGCTTAACCCTAGAGCTGCGACGGAGAAAAACGACAAAGATGGCGTCAGCTCAGGAATGGTGCTCATTTTGGCATCAACGTTGGACGGTGTAGACTTGAGCCCTTCTTTCAGACATGAGCAGATAGAGGTTTAAGTCGACACAATTGGCAGAAACATGACTTGACCACTGAATTAATTTTGGAACCATTGAGAGTCCAGCATCTAATTTACCCCAGTGCTAGTCACACATTGTTTAAAGTTGAGGTCAGGAAGGCTATGGGAATGATGTGCATGAGAGTCTTTCCACGGATCCACGAAAAGTATTGCCTCAGTCTTAGACTCATTTATCAGCAAAACGTTGGCTGCTAACCAGCCCTACACCTCAGTCAAACAGTCCGAAAAATGTGCACCAGCATTTGGTGTGTCCACTGCCACACATAGCTGGCAATCATCAGCGTATATGTGGTAAATTAGACCAAACCGCTTCAGGATTTGCCCTGCAAGAGGTAGATACAGAAAAGGAGGGGTCTCAGTACAAAGCCCTGTGGGACTCCCCATTGCAGTGGAAGACAGGTAGGAGCTATATGAGCGAACAGTTTTAATGGCTCATGGTCAGGCTATCCACGGACATTAGTAACCATCAAAGTTTTATTCTGTCAAGTACGCTGTAATTTAATCCATTCTCGAGACAGGGTGAACAAATATGTGGTGTAAAAATATGGAGCTAGGATTGGGACAATATTCAATGTAACATGTACCAAGTCTTGTAACTTGGAACATGTTTCATGACATGTATGTGGACTGTATGTCTGTAAGGTTAGAGACCTTTAACCCAGATCCATCTAACACTGAACACTTTTCACAACACTTTGATTTACTTTGTAATCAGGTCCTGGACGTGGTTGCCCCTCTCAAACTTTTCAAGTCTTGGCCTAGGAGGGAGCCTTGGCTCTCTGATGTCACACGGGCTTGTAGGCGGGCGAGTAGAGCCTCTGAGAGAAAGTGGAAAAAGGATGGCCTACAGGTCTCGCGTGCGTTGTTCAGAGCATCTCTGGTTGCTTATCAGGATGCTGTGAGGGCTGCTAGAACGGCCTATTTTGCAGACATCATTGAGACAAACTCCAATAATCCTAAGATTCTCTACAAAACACTAAACTCTGTTCTGGTGTATCACGAGCCTAGCTTCATGTCTCCTACAGCTGCTGGAAACTCTAAAGATTTTCACAGATTCTTTGTTGATAAAGTATCGGGCATTAGAGCAGCTATTTCTGGTAACTCTGTTGACCCTGTTCCAGTTCCTCCATCACCACCCACCCTGAGCTCCCTCAATACTGTTTCATACTCTGAGCTGAGTAAGCTAGTTGCGAGGCAGAAGCCATCTGGCTCTCCACTTGACGTTTTGCCGCCTCGTCTCTGGAAGGCTGCCTTTCCGTGCCTTGGCCCTTCACTTGGTCAGATTATCAATGGAAGCCTCAGCACAGGTGTGGTCCCAGCTGCTTTGAAAGCAGCAGTTATTCGGCCGACCCTGAAGAAACCTGGTGCTGATGTCTCTGTGATAGAAAATTACAGGCCTATCTCTACCCTGCCCTTTACATCTAAACTGCTTGAGAAAGTCGTTTATCAGCAGCTGGTCTCACATTTAGCTGACTCTGATCTGTTTGAGGTTTTCCAATCAGGGTTCAGGTCTGGCCATAGCACAGAGTCTGCTCTACTGAGGGTCCTAAATGATATCTATCTATCACTAGATCTATGGTGCTTCTGTTGTTAGATCTGACGGCAGCCTTTGACACAGTTGACCACGCGATTCTACTCGATCGCTTGGAACGATGGGTTGGGATCAAAGGGTCTGCTCTGGATTGGTTTAGATCGTATCTCCACAACAGGACATTCTGCTTTAAGCCGGGCGTACACTGTGCGACTTTTTCACTTTTTTGAGCCGATTTTCCAGTTGTGCGAGAATCCACGAGATCGGGGCGAGTTTTGCGCCGAGCGGTCGTGTAGTGTACAGGGGGTTACGAGAGGCAATTAACACCACGTGACCAGCTACCGATCAGCAGTCGTGAGGTCGCACGGACTTCTGGCGTGTTTAATATTTCGCTCGTCCCTCGTGAGGGTATCGCACTGTTGAAGCGGCGCTGCGAGCAGCTGCGACCCAAAAAGTATCAGAACCGCTCACGGCGCATGCGCAAACACGAAAGCAGGGGCGGAATTTAGGAAGCGGAAGCGACAAATAAACAAATCAGGCAAGACGACGACTACAACAATTCAAGAGCAGCAGCATGGCCACGGAACAACAACGTGTTGTTTGGACTTCAGCAATGGAGGCCCAAATTGTGGAACTTTGGCAAGGTCACGCAAACCTTTACGATGTGGGCACAAAGACGTATCACGACCGCAACAACCGGGAGAAAGATTGGCAAGCAATTGCCACACAGTTGCAGCTGCCAGGTAAGCATCGATGAACTGTATTGTTTCTAGTAACAATCAAGCAATATTAACAGTAACATGTAGTAACTTTAGATAATACATTTGCCTATTTATTGCTTGAAACAGTAACTAACGAACTGATGTAATTCAATTCAATTCAAATTCAACAATTCACTTAAGAGTTCACTGAACCAATCGGATGCTGAGGAGCAGTTTGGCCAACAAGTAGCTGCAGAAATGCGGAAAGTCAAGGACAAACATTTACAGCTGAGGCTCAGGAGAAGCATCATGAACTTAAGTTATGATGCACAAGAGGCAGAACAGGCTGGACAATGTCCTGTTCCACATGTCAGTCCTGCACCTTCCTTCCACACGCAACAGTTCCAGCCACCACGGAATGACAACTTTTTGCAATCACCATCGCCAATGTCATACAGACACCTGCTCAACTCAGACTAGTTAATTACTTTTATCAATAGTATCTTTGTTTTAGTATTTTTTTTAAATCATCATTTTGTCTTAAAAAGGAAAAGTTTGCCCTTTTTTCTCCCACACAGGTTGTTTGGTGTATATGTAAATTCCTGTTTTTTTTATCTGCCATTGTTTAAATAGTTTTCATAAATAAAAACTCTTTTTGAAAAATTCTTTAATGTATTGTTCACAAATGTTGCAAACATAAGAAAATGCATCACTCCACTCCCACACATTATGAATTTTCAAAAGAATCCACCCTAACAGTTGAAATCAGCCTTTAAATGCAGTTCCGTACACATAATCAATGTCTTGTTCTTGTTCAGAGAAAGTTAACAGCCAGACAGGAAGACCATCTGAGCCAATGACTGAGTGGAACCAATGCTCTCGCTTTATTTACAGAAGTTTAACGCATATGAAGCTACACCATGTTTTCCTGCCAGGAAATTCTTCCTGCAGGTGAGACAAAGTACTGGGCTAACACATCACGTTGTTTCTTAGCATCCACTGAGGGGTTCCTAGCTCTGCTTGCCGAAACTGACTGAAGGGCTCCCTCACTTCGCCATGTGCCACTGACCAGCTGATGGTTTGCATCTTCAGAATCCACAAAGCCAGGTGGTGTGTAGGCATCTGATCTCTGTTGTCGGAGGAAGTTGTGGAGACAAAGTGTTGCAAAAACAATTGCAACAACTTTGTGTGGATGCAGGCAAATTGTGGTTCTGAAAACGCGAAAGCGATTGGCCAGAATTCCAAATGTGTTCTCAACAACACGGCGTGCTCTGGAAAGCCTGTAGTTGAAAATCCTTTGATCATGGTTGAGGTTCTGTGATGGATATGGTTTCATCAGATCTGGCCTAAGGGGATATGCTTCGTCACCAATGAGCACATATGGCATTGTGGAGTCAGTGCCTGGCAGGGTTGCATCAGGAGGGACATTCAGAGTGCCTGTGTCCATAGCCTCTCTGAGATCAGAATGGGCAAACACTCCAGCATCAGACGCCCTTCCTTGTGTCCCTGCGCTTGCATATACAAATCTATAATTTGCATCAACTACAGCCATAAGTATGATGGAAAACCTTGACTTGTAATTATAAAACGTGCTTCCACTGTTGGCAGGGGGTTAAATGAAGATGTGTTTCCCATCTATGGCCCCTATGCAATGTGGAAAATGCCACTTGTCTTCAAAGTCTTTAGCGATGACCTTCCACTCAGTCTCAGTTGATGGTGTCTGTGGAAGACGTACATGGTGAGACATTATATTAGTCTCAGGTTTAATCAGGACTGCACATGCAAATTAGCTTCTAGCTAAATCTGGTGCAATGCATCACATTTCACTATTTATGCTTAATATTGTACATGGTCCTTAAATAAACAAACAATGTTTAATTGATGTTATCTCTCTCAACAGGTTCATAATCCTCAGAATGTAAACACACTTCAATAACAACTTTTACGTTCCAACTGTATGTGCATGAACCTGTGATGTGCCACATGCCACTCTGTTACTTGAGGGTCCTTATCAAGCATGTTTTACACTTTTTACTGATCAAACACACCAGATTTACATCAGCAGGTGAATAAATTGCTTCTGCACAGCGCGATGGGTGGATGCGCTGTTTTAGGGCAGGGAAAAAAATTACCTTTAGGTATTCCTCACGTAATACTAGAGTTATGGCTGCACAGGTTTCCATCACAATGCGGCTCAGTGTGGTGCTCCCAATCCTGAACTGGAAAGATAAGGAATTGAAGGTCTCACCTGTAAAGATTAAGAAAGTGTTTCATAATGTGTAAACTTGATTTAGATGTGTGTGTGTGTGTGTGTGTGAGAGAGAGAGAGAGAGAGAGAGAGAGACAGAGAGAGAGAGTGTGTGTGTGTGTGTGTGTGTGTGTGTGTGTGTGTGTGTGTGTGTGTGTGTGTGTGTGTGTGTCACAGAAAGCCTCTCCCTAGGACTGATCACCTTCCTCAGGTGTGTGTCTCTCCTGATGATTTGAGGGGTCACTCTCTCCAGAAGGTCATTGAATTCTTCCACAGACATGCGGAGAAGGTCCCGAAACCCCTTCATATCATCGATCTATTTCACACATCAATGCAACAGCATTACAAATGGCGGTTGTCACTCCACCCACCACCCCAAAGTCCCTCAGCTGGTCAAAATGTAATTTAATTCAATAGATACAATTGTAGTTACATAAGGAAAAGATAATTTCAAACATCTTACCTCCAATTCCCGCTGTAGATTTGACAAACCATACTGGCAACGTCTGCCCAGCCATTTCTTTGTCCACATTTGTCTTCTCTTTTTCTTTTCATCGACACACATGATGGCAAGAAGAGCCAAAGACAAACGTCTTGTTTTCACGAGCATTATTGCGGTTAACAGCGAGCATGCAAGCGCTTTTCTGCTCGGAACCGAACTCGTGGTTTTCGTTTTCCCTGTTGTTTACTTCCGGGGTTTTCTTCTTCGTGTTTGTAATTCTAACGTGTTGCGTCATCTACTGGCTAATTTTTAGCTGCGGTAGTTCATGCCACTCGTACAATGTGAGCAGTCGGGTCGCATGCGAGAACTGGGTCGTACAGTGTGAGCACATGGCTGGTGAGATCTGCTCTGCGAGGAAGTCGTACAGTTTGAGCTGAAGCTGAACGCTGCGAGTGAAAAAGTCGCACAGTGTACGCCCAGCTTTAAACTGGGTGATGTTTTTTCTTCTTGGGAGGGGCTCCACTGGGGGGTCCCGCAGGGATCAATCCTTGGTCCTCTTTTGTTTGCCATTTATTTGCTACCTCTGGGGTCAATCTTTCGTAAACATGGCCTATCATTCCATCTCTATGCTGACGATTGCCAGATTTACTCTCCATTGTGTCAGGAGAAAGGTCACTCTATCCCAGGGGTGGGCAATTATTTTTTCCTTGGGACCACATGAGAAATAGAAAATATTGTGGAGGGCTGGGCCAAAAGGCTGAAGTCAATTATGCATAATATTAATGGTATTTCTTTATAAAAAGCAGTAAATACCATTGTTTTTTCAAGCGTAGACTAAATGTTATAAATGAGCAAAAAGGAAAAAGTGAGGTTGGCTTACAAAAATGTGATTTATTCAAATTTCCCAAGGCAATGGTAAACAAAGTGCGCATTTGGTTTTTGTTAAACATTTGTGACTTATATTAGTTAACAGTTTCAATCACATTCACTCCAAAACACATTTTGAGTTTCAAATATTGTTGGAAAGAGGTTCTTAGCATTCTACAGACACACAGTATTGTCTGTAAAATAAAATCACTGAACTGTGATCTTGAGAAAGAGGTTTAAAAAAAAGTGTCCCAGTTCACTGCTAGTTGCCTACATTTGTGGTCCAAACACCTTATTTTGTGTTTTTAAGCAATTTTTTTCTTATTCAGTGAGAGAAATCTCTCTGCTGGGCTTTAACGAGTGCATCAGTCAGGTTGAATGTCTGAGGTGGAGACGCGAAACACAGCTGACAAATGATCATCAGTGAGAGAGGATCTATACCTGGATTTAGTAAACTTCATCATTGAAAATGCTTGTTCACAAATGTAGGTAGAGCCGAAGAGAACCAACATCTTCTGAGCATGTCTCCTCAGGTTTGGAAAGTTCTCCTCCTTAAGAGAAGAGTAGAAATCCAGCAGAGATCCTGAATCTCTGCTTTCAAGTCCCAACCCCTCTTCAGCACTTTCCCCAGGCTGAGCCATCTGACAGCTGTGTGGAGTCCTCCAAAAGAGCCACAAACTGTCTGTGATTCATCGCCCGCGCCCTGATGAAGTTTATTATTTTAGTAACAACATCAGTAACATGGTTGATTTTTAGCACTGACTTGCACAACACATGTTGGTGTATAATTCAATGCAAAAACACCTATTTTTGATCTGCATCGATTTCTGTCACTTTATCTTGCATGCGTTTCAAAAGTCCGACATTTTTCCCCGTAAGATTTGGACAACTGTCTGTTGTGACACCTGACAGTCTCTCCCCTTTCAGTCCCAGCAGGGTTTCCCTTACATAGGCGTAGCCATGGCGGCCCACCACGGCTGAAATCCCACCGCCACGCCTACAACATCCCAAGTTTTATTGATGTTTTTTTTTGCGCCGTTTCCCGAAGAAGCAGCGGGAACTACTGTGTTGTTGCTTGTGATCACAGCCGGCAGGTAGCAAGGAGGAGGAGGCAGGGCAGGGTGGTTACAGCTATGAGCGTACGGATAAAGCATTTTTGACGAATACGAGCAAGAAACGAGTGTAAAACTCGTAAATATCTGTAATCGTGCTGAATGAAATCCTCATTGGGTAACTGACTGTCTTCACGCTCTGTGATTGGCCAGTCAGATAGAGCGCCCGCCCCTCCCTACACACAAAACTGCAGCCGGGAGCTCCGTCAGCTCGGCCCAGGCATCAACGCACACACACACACACAGACAGTAAAGCCGGGCGGACACTGTGTGACTTTTTCACTTTTTTGAGCAGATTTTCCACTCGTGCGAGAATCCACAAGATCGGGGCGAGTTTTGCGCTGAGCGTGGTGTAGTGTACAGGGGGTTACGAGAGGCGATTAACACCACGTGACCAGCTACCGATCAGCAATCGTGAGCTCGCACGGACTTCCGGATTGTTTGATATTTATCTCGTTCCTCATGAGGGTATCGCACTGTTGAAGCGGCGCTACGAGCAGCTGCGACCCAAAAAGTATCAGAACCGCTCACGGCGCATTCGCAATCCTGCATCAACTCCGCTCACCCGCTATTTCCCTAATAACACACGTTGTTCGTTTTTATTTCTACACGTTTTTTTTACTCACAATGATTGTCAAGAAAGCGTGTTTGTCATGTTCATGTCAAATTAAACTGATCACAAAACACAGATTTACTTTGTTTATTTCGTTTCCTCATCCAACCCCCATAAATCCCTGTGTGTCCTCCTGCAGCACTCCTGAAGGACAACAGGCAAAACAAGACAAAAAAGTCTGACGTGTTGAGTTAAAACGGCTATTTTTAGCTCATTTTAGGTCCGACGTGTTGCTACCAGACGTACAGTGAGCACATGACTCGTGAGATCTGCCCTGCGCTGAAGTCGTACAGTTTGAGCTGAAGCTGTGTTACGAGTGAAAAAGTCGCACAGTGTCCGCCCAGCTTATTATAATGTTCACTGTAATGCATCTTGATGTCTTAACAAATAAATTAAATGAAAAATATTGGTCAATAATGCCAAATATGTATATGTGTGTTTCAGTCATTTTTATACTGGCTTAAAAATACTTCATTAAGTCTACTAAGCAGGGGTGTAGAACGTTTTTAATAAGGCCAGCCCGGTAATGATCTTGGACCAAAATACAGGGGGCAGAGAGTCAAATAAAGAGGGAAAAAGAAGATGTTTTTCCAGACGCCAAGAAAAATTAAATGCCAAATCCCCCCTGCAAAGTGTGTCACTGAGAGTTTAAAACAGAAATTATTCTTGTGCAAATATTGGTGTATTCACCTTTAATACTAGTTATTACAATGCAGCAGCCGCTGGATTGGTGCAGTTCAAAGTGGAGTGCATCAAATAAAACAATATTAACATAAAGGTGAGGCGTGTCCCCCCCCCCCCCCCCCCGCCAACACCACCTCCACCACAGCTGGAAAAATTCCTAGGGGAAACACTGCCCAGAGTGTCCATGCACGCATTTACCTCTGTAAAAAGATCACTCCCTGTCGTTGTCCCTTTTATCGACCGCATTGCTGCCTGCTCCTCTGTGAGCTCCGTTATCCCCCGGACAAATACGAGCAGCTGGGCTGTGTCCCGGACATCACAGCTCTTGTCTAATGAGAAAAAGTCAAAACTTGCCACTTCACGTTGCAGCTGAAGCTCCAGATTCCCCGCAATGTCCTCGATCCTCCTGGACACGGTTCACCTGGACAGCGGGATTTGCTCAAATGCGCCTTTTTTTCAGGGCATATTAGTGCTGCAGAGTCCACCATGCACTCTTTGACAAACTCTCCCTCCGAAAACGGCTTGCTGTTTTTAGCTGTTTTGTGGGGTATCACAAAGCTGGTCCTGGTTGCTGCATCCCTGGATGTGTGAAGCTTAGTAAAACAGCCTTGCTGCTTTTGCAACTTTTGCTAGCAAAGCTTCGGATGTCCCAGCCCTCTCAGCATCAGATGAGTTCTTGTATTTTTCCGAGTGTTTCTTGTCGTAATGCCGACTCAAATTGTAGTCCTTAAACACGGCAATCTCCTCCCCGCAAACCAAACACACGGCTTTACCTCCGACTTCAGTAAAAAAAAAAATTAGCAGTCCAATTTTTGTTGAAAATCCTGCATTCGGCATCTTTTTTTTTTTTTTTTTTTTTTTTTTTTTGCATGAGCGGACAATTCTCGGGCTACAATCACCATGTCAACCGCGGGCACTTGTTGCTATACGTATTGCGTCATTGTGCACGTAAAAAACAACTTCAAAATAAAAGCAATGCAGCCTTAGCCCATGCATGAGGTAAAATGAGAAAATACATTTATTTTGTAATTTCCAATTAACCTTACGCGGGCCGGTCAAAGTCAACCAAAGGGCCGCACGTGGCCCGCGGCCGTAAAATGCCCAGGTCTGCTCTATCCAGTCCTTTGTGTCCTGTATTAACGAGGTGAAGTCTTGGCTAATGGCCAACGTTCTACATCTGAATGAGGGAAAGACAGAGCTCATTGTTTTTCACCCCAACAGCAGGAATGTGGATCGTTATGTTGATCTTGGCCCTCTTTCTCCCTACTCAAAACCAGTTGTTACCAGTTTGGGAGTGAAAATTGATGCTGGACTTAAATTTGATGCTCACATCAACTCAGTGATCCAGTCCAGTTTCTTTCACCTGAGACGCCTTGCAAATATCAAGCCAATACTATCGAGAGCCCACCTGGAGCGGGTACTGCATGCCTTTGTTATTTCTAGGCTTGATTACTGCAACTCTCTTTATTCAGGGTTGTGTCAGTCATCACTGCGTCGTCTACAGGTTGTGCAGAACAGCGCAGCCAGGTTCCTGACTGGGACCAGGAAACGGGACCACATCAGTCCGGTTCTGGCCTCCCTGCACTGGCTTCCGGTTTGCTATCGTGCACAATTCAAAATCCTCGTCTTTGTTTACAATTTCTTCCAGGGTGGTGGTTCCTGAACATGTTTGATTCGGCCCTCTTTTACGTTGAATTTCTTTCACAGTTTTCATTGGTTCACTCTATCCCTTGTTTTACCCATCTGTCCTGTACTAGAATGTTTCATCTTTTTTTGTAATTTGTATTTTGTAATTTGAATTGCTTTTATTTCTGAATTGCTTTTATTTTTGATTTATTCACTATATTTGTACTTCTACTGTACCATGTTCAGCGCCTTGGGCTTCCTGAGAGGGTTGTGGAAGGTGCTTTATAAATAAAGCTTTGATTGATTGATTGATTGATTGATGTAACTTGTAACTTTAGTTTTCTAACTTGTAATTCTCAATTTGTACTTGTATTTCTTGTTTTGTAACAGGAAATTTTCATTTTGTACATGTATTTTTTATTTTGTAAAATCAAACTTTTATTTTGTACATTTACTCATTTTGTAACATCAGACATTTGTAACGTGAGGAAGTATGGGTTCTGTGCCAAAGGTCGTATTTGTCCGGCTGGGTCAAAGCTGGGTCACGCAGCACCTTCACCCACAGATTAACCCCCAAATTCCACTACCTCCGCTCCGCTGCGCTCCGCTCCGACACGAACGCCGGAGCAAAATCGGTCCCGTTCTAGTCAATCAGAGCAATTCCACTACTGCGGCCGTGCTCCGGCAGTGCGGCGCCCTCTGTTCCGGCGTCCGGCAAAAATAGAATCGATCCTATTTTTGCCGGACGCCGGAGCACCTCCGCAGTAAATGGACAGAAATCACAACGGCCCAACAGGAAAAGGAGCAAGCACATCTTCCGTTTTTCACAATAAATCGCTAAACAAAAGGCGTTTTTTGTTTCATATGCACAGGTTTAACAACTTTTAACAACTATCAATGGCGGCTGAAGTTTAAATGCACAAAAATAAGCCATAAATACAGTTTCTACTATCAAAGTAGTCACACTTTGTTGATCCAAACACTGCTGATCTCTCAACACAACTGATGGGCAGATTAAACAGTTCATGCCGATGCTTCTCCCACACAACGGGTGTTTGGATCTAACTTCCGCGTTTATTGCCCGGACTGTATCGCAAGATCTCGAAAATCCCGCGCATGCTTGTTTGCCCCCCTCAGGTCTCCGCACCGGAGCGGAGCCGTTGTAGAGCGGGTACCAGTAAAAATTGAGTTCGGAAGCGAGCGGCTGCGGAAGGCGGGGGCGGACCGGAGCGGAGCGGAGGTAGTGGAATTTGGGGGTAAGAGCTAAGCCGCCAGCAAGTCTGAAGGACTCCACAACATCCAAACACCTGCTCTCCAGAAGAAGGACTTCACACACAGTGTAGTCATAATAAAACAGAGTCTTAAGCTTTCTTTATTTTATTAATGTTAAATAATCATTTGATCACTTTGCTCATGTATTTTAATCAAATGAATGATTATTATGCTTTGGGTAATCATAATGAACTATAATGAATCAGTATACTTAATTAAATAATGTTTTTGAAGATGTTAAGCGATGACCTTCACACCTCTTCACACAGGTCCGGATCCACAGTAACTTCAAAACACATTTGCTCTGACGCACAACACGTTTGCTTTGGGAAGAGAAGTGGTTTCGGTAAGGAGGCAAAACGGAAGAGAGCAGAAGTGCGGAACGAACGCCACGGGGAAAGGAGCCCTGCAGGCTCCTGTTCTCCCCCCACGCTATTTCTGTCAAGCCAGACAGAATAGCTGAAATGCAACCCGCTAACGCAGACTCGTCCCAGAGTCTTTTGATTTCTGAGTTAATTTAAACATGAGATAGCGCATCTGCCAAAAAGCTTCAGCAACGTGTACCGAGGTCAACTCTGGACTGGACCGTCGCACACCTTCGTCTTCTCTGTCAGCCAAGGTGTCATCTGGAGAACACATCCTCCTGAGGTCCGGATCTAAAAGAGGGTCCTAAGTGCGGTGAAGCAGAACACGACCAGATAGCGTTCTGATGCTGTTTTTCTAATAAGAACTAAAGTTTAATTGCAAAACATCATTTTTCACTCAGTTCACCTTTTCTCTGCCTGAAGCAATCTCAGACACCTGCATGCAAGCATTCATAATTCCATCATCCTCAATCTTAGCACATCCAACACAAGGTCTATTTGTGCAAGCTTAAAATATCAACTGTTAAAGATTGTCCAAAAAGGTTGCCAATATTGATTGTTTTTCCTATCATTGTCATTTCAAATCGTTAGTTTAAATTGAAGAAATAAATCTCTTAAAATTTAAACTTGCCTTTTCATTGAACTGAAACACAGACAAACGGATACGATCGTCAGTTTATCGATGAAAACAACCTTTGAGTCTTCTTATCTCTATACCGTTTGGTTATTAATTTGTTAAAATTAATATTCCAGATTATTATGTAGAAGGGTTCATCTTTCATAAAAGAGCCAACAACCATTACGCTACATATTCATTCAGAAACATGAAACTTTCAGTTTTTACCTAGCAGATTTCCTAAATAAAAAATATCAATGTACATGTTTGAAATCAAAACTCTCAAAACACACATTTCATTCTACAGGTACAAACCTCAAATCTTGTGTTACAATCACGTTTCTCGAATTCCTGTCCAATCATTAGGAGAGGAGGGCAGGGTTCTGTCAGAGATGTAGAAAGAGAGAGTTACGACACTCTTTGAACTCGCGGTCACGTGGTTTATGGAGCTCTCAGTTCCAAACATCCCACAGCGCCGTAAGTCAGTTTGAACGGCGTATGGTGGGACAAATCACAAAAATTTAATATAATCACATTTCCCCTGGCGATTTGTGGTAATTATTGAATAATATTATATATTATGTCCTAACTCCTTCACAAAGTAGCCTATTTATATTTTTCCGAGCATTTGTAGGAAGACAGACACCCGTGACTGTTCTACATTACAGGAACACGACAGTCCTAACACACTGTAGAACACATTTAGACCACATACATTACTATAATATATAATAATACTTTTGATATAGTAATGCAACACACTGCTCTAATATAAGCATATTTAGTAACTTTAAGTCCTACGAGAAGCCCTAAACTCGAGTTGTAATATCCATTTTAAAGTGTTATTGAAAGCTAGAATTCTGCTCCAGCTTACCTTGAAGAAAATACGTAGCTGTTTATGCTTTGAATGATGATCTGTTATGTTCAGTAGAATACATTTTAAAATCATTATTTTATATTTTTATGTGAAGACAGTACATGCATCTATAACCCAGTTTATCTGGTTTCTATAGCAACTAATTAAAAAGAAAACTTCAGTAAAACTGTATGGTTCATCACAGTAGATAAAAAAGTGTTAACTGTGGAAAAAATGAACTCCAAACTTGTACAACATGTATAATAGCATTTTTAATAAAGCGTTTTACCAACATTATGTTTAGTCATTACATATGCACAAATAAGCTGAATCATTAATTATGAGCAATGTACTCAAGACCTAATGAAACTCTTTTGAATAACTTTATTGTGATTATTATTAAAATAAAATGTGTCCGTGGGTTAAAATTTGAAATGACTAATTTTAGGGTTGGATAAAATTTTTAAATGTAATTTTACATCTCTATATATTTGGTTCAGTTCAATATTTCTATAAGTACAAAAATAGTATTTTAATAATCCCTTTATAGGTTGATTATCTTACCGTGGTTGGCTGCGCTGCATATAGCAAACGGTCTGAGGGAGGAATCAGAATTACGGCTTACCCAAAGATGCAGAGAAGAAGAAAATGGTTGGCTCAAGTCAGCAGGAGCAACCTCACCATGACCAGAGATCACAATAACAAAAAGCTGTGTGCAGCGAGTTTAATGTGCACGCTATAATGTTTTCTATCAAGGCTCTACATGTTCTGCTCTCAGCTGCACAAGGCTGCAATTAAACTGTTAAATGTGGCAGGAAATAAACTAATACACCACTCTACAGGCACATTTTGAGGAGGGACAGTTTACTAAGACTAGGCAAGGCAAGGTGAGACTCAGGGCTGATGCTGTGTTTGTTCATCGCCCTGAACCAAGGAGGAGGAAGGACCCCGCAGTGAAGTACAGCAGAACCGCTGCATGTTGATCCACTGGCCAGTGACCACACGTTGTACTCAAGTAAACTGTGGTACGAATCTTTTGAAATATTAAGATATTTTTATTTATTTTATTTTAAAATTATTCTTTATTCTAACAGTGCCATTGTAATTTCAGAGAATGAGGAAAGCAGCAGCAGCAGTGAGGCAAATGAGATGAGGGACAGTGAGAGGGGACATGAGATGGTATCAGGAGAGAGGGACATCCCAGGAAGCCATGAGGAGCCGGCGTCAGGGCCAGGAGGAGAAAGGAACAGGCTCTGCAACCAGGGAACCCAGCTGGAAAACCTAAGGGAGGAAGTAGAAAATCAAAAAGGCATGAAAAACTCAAGAGGCGGTAAATGGAGTAAACAGACAATCAAAAAGGCCGTACAACTCTGTTTTTCAGTGGGTTCAACAGGCTGCAGGTTTCTTCAGGACACGAGTATCCCTCTGCCTGATGTTCGAACCCTGCACAGACAAATGCAGCCCATTAACTGGAACCAGGTGTGTTAGGAGAGGTGTGTGACATGCTCAGTTTGGAGGTTAAAAATCTGACAGAGATGGAAAGAGAGTGTGTGCTTACTGTGGATGAGATGGCAATCACTCCAGGCGTGCATCACTCCATCACAGACCCAACTGGGATTTGCCACCACCGTTGTTCCTGGTCTGCTCTCCGCTCAGCCACGATGAAAACATGAAGATGGACACATGACACAGTTTAACCTTTAATGGTTAAATACGATTTTTGTTTTAGTAACTCTTTGACATTTATTTATTGATAGTTGTGTTATTGTTAATTCTTATTTCTTGTCATTCCTTAATAACAAAATTGCACATGCTAATATTATAAAGCAAGTGGAAATGAGCAGTTTTATGGAAAATGTCAAATTTTTAAAAAGTTATTGTTCGACTAGTGTTCTTGAAATATCGTAATTTTATTCTTATTACTTGAGAGCACAAAACAGAACAACATATCTTCTTATGTTCGTAATCCTGTTTGTCTCATGCTTCAGCAGTTCGCTGCAGTCAGTGTTATTAACAGAAAAATATTAAATAATTACTTGTCTTCACAATCACATTTTCTTTATTATTGGTCTCTCCATTTGTGCTTCCATTTCTGATGCATGTTCGTGTTGACAAGGCAATCAGCAACGTATTGTACAAAAAAT